GTCTCTGCAGGCATGCCACATCCATGTGGCTCCTGGGCTCAGCGGTGTGATCCTTTGTCCTACACCAGGACAATCATACCGAACTTTGCCAAGGACAATAGACTACAAAGCCATGGGCCACAGGCGCCTAGAAGAGGGCGAGGAGTCCATCTTCAGCCAGTCACCTCCCAGCTCCACAACTCATGTCCACCTCCAGCAACTCTGCTACCTCAACCCCATCGAGCCAGACAGCCAAAGTGACCTTAAGCCTGTGGAAACAGTAGCTTGGAGTATGTGGAACTGACACCTGCTTGGGCTGGGGAGTGCTGTGTACCTGAGTTCAAGTCTCATTTCCACGAGCTCCCAGGTGAGCACACCGATGAAATGGATTACTAAACCCGCCCAATGCATCACTTATCTGCAATGTGAGGAACCCTTGCACGCAGGACAAGTCCATGAGCGGAGCCCAGGCCTGTGGAGGGAGAAGCAGCGCTGCACCCTTCCTTCTCTAGACTCGACCAGACATGACCGACCCATCTCCAAATGCTACAGACTAGGGCTGCTCCATGTCACACGTGGTCTAATGTCGTCTTGGGATCAGGAGGGACTTCTAATATGAGGCGCGATCATTTTATAGATGAGGAATTTGAAACCCAAAGGAGCTAAAGCCTGGGACAACATAATCTTGCTTATACATTTCCTCTACGGTGAGTTCAAAGAGCAATGTCCTCAAAGCCCTTCCTCACAAAAGTCACAAAAAGTGATTTGGCATATGCTACAACAAAGACAGTAGCATTGAGTGGCCAGAGGCTCAGGAGAGCCATGGTCAATACTGTTTCTGACACTAACTGTAGAACCCTAGAATTCACTTAAAAAAAAATATTTAAAACCACTTCCCGTTCTACCCAAATCCAATGATTCCAAAGGAAATGTAGCCCTTTTCTTTGAAGGTGTAATGCCCAATACTTTCCACCAGGTGGCACAAAATCTCCTTTACAGAAACCTGAACAGTCACAACAAAGGAGGGAAGGAACTGGTGGGTTTTTTTTGTTGTTGGTTTTTTTCCCCAAAGCATTAACTTTTCTACAATTTGATTTTATTTAGTGTTAATCATGCATTTGGTCATCAATGCACTGTATGTATGTCACAGGAGAAGGACTAAACTCAGACTTCAAAGCAGGAATGTGGGATGAGCACAGGAAAGATCGCAAATAATGGGGTCTCGGTTAGCGCTTCCTACCTGGCCGCCTAAGTACGGTGAGGAGTGGTCATTTTGTGATTATCTGTGAATGGCTTGGATGTACAGGGGTATTGAAAACATTTTCTTCTCCAATAAAAGTCAGTGACAAGGAAAAAGAAATAACTGGAGAAAATCATTTAAGACTATCACGGCAGAGAAGTTTTGCATTTATAAAAACCTCTAGGGACTAAATGCAAGTGGCTTCGGAGATTATATCCTGGAGTCAAAAGGGGACAGGAGAAGAAAACCTGGCCAAATCAGAAAGACATGTTTACTTAGGAGCTTTAAATTATGCCATAAGAAATGCCCTCCTTGCTGATCACTGAACAAGGGATTCTGAAGCCTGGCCACGGCTCTCAGTGATAAAGCATCTCCCTGGCATCCCTGCAACTATAGGTTGAATCTTTAGTAAACGAAGGAAGGGAGGGAGGCAGGGAGGTGAAAGGAGAGGAGAGACTTAATACTAGAAAGTAACAGTTCGTGTGCAATCAAACTAGACAAATAAACAAAGAAGGGCAAAGCCTCAGGTGACCTGGGCTGTGGGTGGGTGGTGGGTGGGGACTCGACGGCAATACTGATAGGACTGAACGTTACTGCAGACTTTCTGAAAGCAATTTTACAGGAAGTGACAGACGCCATAAGGCTGATGGCCTTTGACCCGGCAATATCGGTTTCAGCAACTTCTACCAAAGCAGTAATTGAAAAGGAGAAAAGCGTCGCCCATTTTTTTTGGAAGGTGTAGTTTTGCTCTGTGTGGTTTCGAACCGTGCCAATGCTGCCACTGCCTAAATGGGGGAGGGGGACAGAGCTACTAATTAAATAGCAATAATGAAATTAAGGAGGACGGACCAGAGAACTGCTGAAAGGGATATGTGCAATAACTTTCAAAATGTTCCTTATTTGCACGTAGACTCATTGGGATGCCAGGGTAGAGAAAGGACATTAGTGAGAAACTGCCTGCCTAACGGCTATATGATTATGAAGATGTTAATATTAGGGAAAGCAGGGTGAAGGGCATATGGGGACTCAAGCTTGAGAACTTTTCAGCGAATCCGTAATTATTTCAAAATAAGACTAGGTTTAAGAATTACATTCCAGACACTGCCAGCCGCCGCCATGACAAGCAGCATGTGAAGATGCCGGTAAGCCACGAGCCATGTGGCAAGGTATAGATTAATGGAAATGGATTAATTTAAGCTGTAAGAACAGTTAGCAAGAAGCCTGCCACGGCCATACAGTTTGTAAGCAATATAAGTCTCTGTGTTTACTTGGTTGGGTCTGAGTGGCTGTGGGACTGGCGGTGTCAGAGATTTGTCCGGACTGTGGGCCAGGCAGGAAAACTCTAGCTACAAATGGTGCCCAACGTGTTGGCAAAAGTTTCCACCTAAAACCTGAGAAAAAAGATTCTAAAATGGAGCCAAAAATAGTTCTGAGTTGTCTCTTTCAAGTTAGCTGCAGCCTGCGTGTTTGAGCTACTATGGCGGGTTCCTGGCGTGCATGCTCCACCTGCAGTATGGCGGGAATGAGGCCTCTGCAAGTGGCACATTAAGCTTCATGGTGGATTTAGCCTTTGCTAGTACAAAGTAAAAAGAGGTTTCTGAGCTACATGCTGCTTGGATAAAAGCATAGACCCAAGATGGCTCCCAGAGCTGGTGGTAAACGTACCACCGCCATGTTGGAAAGCTGAAGTGGGCGGAGCCAGCAGCCACAGCGCCCTTTCAGTCTTAGAATGCTGCACTTTAAAGCAATAGGCTCAAGGTAATATAAAAAAGAAGCCACGTAAAGATGGCTACCACACAGAGAATCTGGATTATGTTCTCTTTGATATTCGTAACTGAAGAAAAATGTTTAATTGCAAAAGCTGTTGAGTTATGCCAAAATGTATATTTTAAAGGTACCTTGACTTCAAAATTTGGATGTAAGGATATGTTGCTTTGGAAAGGAGGCTCTGCTTTTGTTTCCACAGAAAGCCAAAGGCCATGGATTTGTTCCAGATTAAGATACATCAGGTTTGACCAACCAAGACCCGCTGAAAGGTCTCTGATGACACCATGGCCCAGATGATCCAATATCCAGAACTGTTTCAAGACAACTGGCTCAGATGATACACCCTCACGGACTACTCCATAATCCTAAAATTCTCTTTGTGTCCCCATAAGATACAGCGCCCCCCTCCAGCAGGAAGTAGTAAGAGAAGCTACGCCCAAATTCCCAAATATACCAAGCTGACTTTGGAGATGTGTAAAGGTTAAAACCTTCCTTTTTAAGAAAAGAAAAGGGGAAGTGCTGTGGGATGGTCTGTATGTCAAATGTGTTGCTGATTGGTCAATAAATAAATCACTGATTGGCCAGTGGCCAGGCAGGAAGTATAGGTGGGACTAACAGAGAGGAGAATTGAGAGAACAGGAAGGCGGAAAAGAGACACTGCCAGCCGCCGCCATGACAAGAGCATGTGAAGATGCCGGTAAGCCAAGAGTCAAGTGGCAAGGTATAGATTTATAGAAATGGATTAATTTAAGATATAAGAACAGTTAGCAAGAAGCCTGCCACGGCCATACAGTTTGTAAGCAAAAAAAAAAAAAAAAAAGAATTACATTCAAGCTCCCACACAGATGACCACCAATTACAAAACGTGTTTAATGTCTAAAACATTAAGAAGGCTCACAAACACTTTCAGAGTTGTAACTATACTCTGACCTTTTGGGGACTGTGTGGCCATGTGGGCTTGTATGGATGCTGCCATTTCTGTCTACAGGGTTCACCAGACAACTGAATTTATATTATATTATATTATATTATGTTCTGTTCTGTTATGTTATGTTATATTATATATCTAGCAATTATTCTTATCTTCCTAGCATATAAGCTTTATATATGTGAGATATATATATATAGATATATAGATATATATATTATAGGTGGTTGCTAGCTGTTGGAAACCAAACTCAGGTCCTTTGGAAGAGCAGCAAGTGCTCTTAACCACTGAGCCACCTCTCCAGCCCCAGGTAGACATTTCCATAGAGACCTTTTGGATGATCAGTCCTCACAGACTATATTTAGAATTCTATAGAACATGGAATTAAATATTTTTGTAGTGCTTGTCTGTGTGTGTGTGTACACAAGAACACATGTGTAGGCCAGAGGCCAACCTTGAGTTGCGCTGATTGTATAACTTCACTGATTGTATAACGAAGCACAAGAAAACAGTTACAGGCTATAAGAGACGGGAAGGCCAATGTCCACCGTGATTACTATAAAGGTACCGAAGCCCCAAAGCCCCCTTCCCCTCGTAGTGAGTTTCTCCATCATGGGGGACCTTCTGGATCAAGGGTGGGACAAGAGTAATTTGAAGGAGGTTTAAGTTTGAAGATGTCCTTTTGAGTTTCTGGTTTGGTTCTCTTCAGGATGTGCCCCATTTCCCCTAATAATTTTCACTGAACTACAGGCACCCCTAGACTCACAGTGGTTATCCCACAGCCTGGCCATACAACCTACTGTCACATTTCTTGTTTCCTCTTTTCTGTCTTTGGGTTGACTGAGGGCGGCCACTCCTGTTCTGTCACAGCATAGTGAGAGTTTACATGGTGGTGATTACAGAAATACCACAAGCCTAAACTGGAACAGGGGCTTTCTTAAAATGTCACAGAGACTAAGAAAGAGAGACAATGAAAGGGTAATTACTTAGTAAGTGGCTTGGGGGGTGGTGGTGGTGGCATTATTCAAAGCCATTACTCTGGTGTGAGAATACAAGCTAGCGGCTGAAAGCATCTTTCTTACAAACCTTGGCTTCTGGGTCACTGTTGACACTACAAGAATCATCGTCATCAGCATGAGGGGCGTTTCTAGAAAGAAAACATAAAACTGGTCTTAGAATTAATTCTGTTGTAAAGCCTGGATGCCGAAGCCACCCCTCTTGGCAAACCCCTCCACCCTCCTACCTGAGTTTCAAGGATGCATAGCGTAGCGTGGCCCCTTCAAACTCTTTCAGACTGGGGTCTGGGTTAACTGTGGCTGCGTGCAAATCCTAGAGGGGAAAACAGTCCTGTTAGGGTACAATGGAAGGGCCCGTTACCCTGCCTCAGATACCGAAGAGGAGAGAATGCCCCCAGCAAGAGGCGGCGGAGAGTGGATGTGAGCTTAGGCAGAAAACGACATGCAAGGGCTGCTGCGTGCGGACGTGGCTCACAAGCTCTGGCTCTCACGAGACAACAGGGGACCTGGTGCACACCAGCTTGAAATCATTCACAATGGGAGACATCCAAAAAAAAAAAAAAAAAAACAGACAATGTGAATGTGAGCAGCACGCCCCGGCGAGAAGCCCCATCGCTCCGTCCCTGCAGAATGCATGATATGCATGGAGAAGAAAAATAAACAGCCACAGCCATGCAGAAAGGAACAAAAAAATATTAAGTGATCTAAAATCTGACAATATACTTGCCTTCCAAATGTCACTATTAATCTTTCCCCCATTCAGAACAGCAAAATCACTCCATGGCTGTTTCTAGACATATAATTATTCACATAGGGAAAAAACAAAAAAGCACATAGATTTAAAGAAAAAAAAGAAATCAAAACACAAGGAGGAAAAAAAAAACACAAGACACTGTTGTTAGCATTGATATTCACAGGACGGGTTAGGGAACATATTAAATCTAACAGTAAGTAACTTGTTAGTGCTCTCTCTAAGCTAGATTATTACCTGACCGGGGCAGGCTTCAGACCAAATAAAAGACTCAACATTATTAAAACGAGGTGTAGTTATTTCCTAAATGTGGTCCCAGAAGCAAACCACATGATTTCCCACACTCAGTCCCCAGTCTACACAGTTCTATAAAGAACCCCCCCAACACACACACACACATACACACACCACTACACGCATGTTTTCTAGAGACAGAAGTGGAATCAGGGATGTCTCTATGCTCGCTTGGGAACTGTGGGATGCCGCTATCTAAGAGCACAAGTCTGGAGTCAAGGTACTGCTACTTCGGGAGGGATAGGACAATGAAGAGAACAGAAGCTTAGTCAGGGGCAGAGGCTGACACCATCATTCCGGTGAGATTCATTGCACTCAATGAAAGATGGCCCCACCCACCCAGTCTACTATCCACTACTGATTCATAAACGCTCTACTTCGATGCCACACAAGTCCGTCCAGAGTGCACACCTGCCGGGGAAATGGTTTTCTAAGCGGCTACAGACCACAGCCGGGAGCCCTGCACACTGAGAAAGCTCCCACAGCAGACCTCAGCAGAGAAGCAACTCCTTCCACTCACCCCAGACAACGAGGAAACTCGTTTTTTCCTACCGTGCCAAGGGAAGCCCCAAGTATTTTTCATAAATTTATGGAACTAAAGGAAGCTACTGAAACTCAAGGATGGCCTTGTGAATCTCTCCTCAGAGGAAACATCAACAATGCAGAGTTTTCAACCAAGGAACTTTTCAACTGAAGTTCGTTGCAAATGAGCAGGAACCGGTGACCCAGAACTTACAGTCAGACCCCTAAGGCAGGTTTTCACTAAGAACAAATCAACTTCAGTGCAAATGCCCTGTGGAATGGTGGGCTGCTTAACTCCTCGGACTTGGCAGGGTGGATGGACTGCTGCTCACTCCCACCATCAACACAATCGGCTTTCTTTTGGGGGCTAGGGGTCAGAGTTGCCATATTCATAATACAGAAGAACTCAGATCACAACACTAATTTTGAAAAGTAATCTCTTCTAATGAATGTAAGGACAGGAATGTTGCCCATCTTAGCTCTCTCCTTACTCGATATCCCTCAAAGTGTGTTCAGCCTCCACTGAGAAGTGTAACTTGGGAAAACTGTGGCCCGTTAGCTCGGAAGGGCTGGGAACCTAAGATGGGTACAGGGTTTTATGTATGTATGTTTTCCTGGAAAAGGCCTGTAAGCTTTGCTCCTATTTTTAATATATATTTAAAATTTGACTTTGTACGTGTGTGTATGTACCCGAGTATACGTATGTGCACCAAATGCATGCACGGACCTGCAGAGTTCAGAAGGGGGCATCAGATCCTTGAAAAACTGGAGTCACAGGTGATTGTGAGCTGTCACCTGGGTGCTGAGAACCCACCCGGCTGCCTTGCAAGAGCAGGGAGCCCTCTTAACAGCTGGGTTATCTCTCCAGGCCCACTGTTCCTATTCTCAGAGGGACCAGTGGTGGCCAGGCTGTCACTGCTCTGGAGCTATAGAAAATGCTCCTGTAAGAGCAAGCTGCAAGTGCTGAAGACAACATCAAGCTGCAAATTTCTTTTCCAAGCAAAGCCCCCACGGCTCCACATCAGGACCCCGGCTGCAGGGTGGGCTCCACATCAGGACCCCGGCTGCAGGGTGGGCTCCACATCAGGACCCCGGCTGCAGGGTGGGCTCCACATCAGGACGCCAGCTGCAGGGTGGGCTCCACATCAGGACCCTGGATGCAGGGTGGGCTCCACATCAGGACCCTGGCTGCAGGGTGGGCTCCACATCAGGACCCCAGCTGCAGAGGGGGCTCCACATCAGGACCCTGGCTGCAGGGTGGGCAGCTTCCCTTCTCCCTTTAGGTTGAACTTTGAAAAGGGGCATCAGATGAGGAGTCGAAGAGAGTCAAGCTAACTATGTTTGCGTGGAGAAACTTCAGAGGGAAAAGAAAGAAGAGGAAGGAATGGGAAGAGAATGGGGGAGGATGCAGGGAGAGAGGGAGGGAAGGAGAAAGAAAAAAAGGAAGAAAGAAAAGGGAGGGAGAGAGAAAGGTGGGGGAGAAAGAAGGCCAGAGTGATGTCTGAAAAACAGACACTTGAAATCAGAAATTATCCAAGAAGGGCTCCGTGTGGACAGAAGAATATTTTAAATGCAGCATTCAGAAAAACTTCAGAAGTGAATTAAAACAGGCCTCTGTGTGGGTGTCGAATTTGAAGCCTTTTTATATGGCTGCTCTCTGGACACAGGAGTCTCTGTAAAGGGAGTGTTGACTGTGGCCTCTATGAAGCGAGCTCTTATGCCGTGGAGTCAGCTGGCAGCCGCCTGACGGTCACCCACATCTACATAAACAAAAGCCCTGTGCAGTGACTTTGCAGAAGGCAGCAACAGTGAACGCTTATTGCAAAACCCAAGTACGGAACAGTGGTGATGGCGTTATGACTGGGCCGAAGGTATTTATGTTTAAACCTCACTTTAAAATAATTCATTGATATCAAAGATGGAAAATTCTCTTTCTCATAAAAGCAACCATAACTTTTCCTTTCCCTCCCCCTTGTTAAACAAAGAACAACACACTTTTTCTTAAACTTTAAGAACAACATTGTATGGCCATTTAATTATTTTTAATTAATAAGAGAAAATATTTTCTACATTTAGCCAACTATTTAATAAACTTACTTATTTTCATAGTGTTGGGACTCAACCTACAGCCTTGAGCATGTCAGCCAAGCACTCTCCCCAGCTCTAGTAAATAATGTTAGCTAATAAAAATTTAAAAATAATAAACCTACCAGAGGTTCTTTGGCTCAACAGAAAGTCTACAGTCACTTCGGTCTGCAGCGGGGAGAATGGGGAAGATAAGAGGGGGTGGGGGACAAAGAGGAGGCAGTAAAAGAGGAAACAGGAGGCGAGCCCTACGCTTCAGGTAGGAAGAGACACACAAGATAGGGTGAGAGGGAATGGACAGAGAGCATCTCCTATAAGCAACCTGCCTGGGAACCTTCTAGGTAGAGTGGATAAAGTCTGGCATGGCCACGAGATGTCCTGGGCCAGAGTTTTAGCTGGAATCACTGCCTCCTAGTCCTTACTCTGGCCCTATGGGCAGCATCCATGGCTCTAAATATGAGGCTCAGGGTGCAGCATCCATGGCTCTAAATATGAGGCTCAGGGTGCAGCATCCATGGCTCTAAATATGATGCTCAGGGTGCAGCATCCATGGCTCTAAATATGATGCTCAGGGTGCAGCATCCATGGCTCTAAATATGATGCTCAGGGTGCAGCATCCATGGTTCTAAATATGATGCTCAGGGTACAGCATCCATGGCTCTAAATATGATGCTCAGGGTGCAGCATCCATGGCTCTAAATATGAGGCTCAGGGTGCAGCATCCATGACTCTAAATATGATGCTCAGGGTGCAGCATCCATGGCTCTAAATATGATGCTCAGGGTGCAGCATCCATGGCTCTAAATATGATGCTCAGGGTGCAGCATCCATGGCTCTAAATATGAGGCTCAGGGTGCAGCATCCATGGTTCTAAATATGATGCTCAGGGTGCAGCATCCATGGCTCTAAATATGATGCTCAGGGTGCAGCATCCATGGCTCTAAATATGAGGCTCAGGGTGCAGCATCCATGACTCTAAATATGATGCTCAGGGTGCAGCATCCATGGCTCTAAATATGATGCTCAGGGTGCAGCATCCATGGCTCTAAATATGAGGCTCAGGGTGCAGCATCCATGGCTCTAAATATGATGCTCAGGGTGCAGCATCCATGGTTCTAAATATGATGCTCAGGGTGCAGCATCCATGGCTCTAAATATGATGCTCAGGGTGCAGCATCCATGGCTCTAAATATGAGGCTCAGGGTGCAGCATCCATGACTCTAAATATGATGCTCAGGGTGCAGCATCCATGGCTCTAAATATGATGCTCAGGGTGCAGCATCCATGGCTCTAAATATGATGCTCAGGGTGCAGCATCCATGGCTCTAAATATGATGCTCAGGGTGCAGCATCCATGGCTCTAAATATGATGCTCAGGGTGCAGCATCCATGGCTCTAAATATGATGCTCAGGGTGCAGCATCCATGGTTCTAAATATGATGCTCAGGGTGCAGCATCCATGGCTCTAAATATGATGCTCAGGGTGCAGCATCCATGGCTCTAAATATGATGCTCAGGGTGCAGCATCCATGGCTCTAAATATGATGCTCAGGGTGCAGCATCCATGGCTCTAAATATGAGGCTCAGGGTGCAGCATCCATGGCTCTAAATATGAGGCTCAGGGTGCAGCATCCATGGTTCTAAATATGATGCTCAGGGTGCAGCATCCACGGCTCTAAATATGATGCTCAGGGTGCAACATCCATGACTCTAAATCACGCTCAGTGATGGGAAAGCTGCAGAGCCCTGGCTCCCATGGTGTATACTGAGTGACTGACCCAGTGCTCAGAACACAATGCCTGCCCTTCTAGACCTATGGCACCACGTAGGGCCTGTGCAAGGGTGGGCCCGCTAGGGAGAGCCAAGCACATATCTTGGATGACTGAGCGCTTTTATCCTAATTTCCCTCAGGGTGGAGGATCCTGGAAAACAGTTCCACAAATCAAAGAGAAATGGACCGATGACCTTCAGTTGGAAAAGGCCCTTCTTCAACAAAGCCGGCAGGGTGTTCCTGAGGATGGATTCTCAGGAGCTGGGGAGGAAGTCCTTCTGAGGAAGCCATCTTTACTATGTGCTATGCATAGCTGGGATGTGTCCTCTCAAAACCCTGTGTGGGAAACAGTCCCAAAGTGTAGCAGTGTTGGGGATGGGGTGGGGACTAATGGAGGTGGTCGGGTCATCAGGGCTCCGCTCTGGTGGATGGATTAGTGCTCAAACCTGGCAGTCCATCCTCTTATTCCCTGTTTCTCCTCTTTGCTCAGAGGATGAGGCAGGAAGAAGGCTCTCATCAGATGCAGCTTCTCTAACCTGGACCCCGCCCCTGCTCCAGCCTACCAGACAGCACGTTTCTGCTCATTGCAAATCACTGTAGTGCTTTGCATCTGGAGCACAAACCAAAGGCCCGGGAATCCACCCTCAGCTCACAGGCTGGGAAACGCTGCTCTTGCATCTACAAGGTCCATCTCTGAGGGTCTTTGCTACCCTCCAATACCACATTCACTTGACCCGGCTGTGCAATTTGGTGAAATGACAGAACGGTCCTTTGATGGGGCGACCTTACTCCAGGGACACATGGAAATACACAGGTTTTGAACTTGGACATGTGTGCTCTTCCTGGGGGTGATAGCTGTTTAGGCAGCCAATGGCCACAAGCACGTTAGCAAGGAGAGAGACTTCTTAAGGAGACAAGGTCTCCTCTGAGGGTCCCACTCTCCATACTTCTTGAGAAACCCTGGCAATCTCGACAGGAAGATTCTAAGCAAGTCTTGGCCACAGGCCAAGAGCTAGTCACAAAAAATACCTTGTATGGCGCCCCGTTTCTCTTTTTAAAATTCCACATCCACATAATTTCAGAGGTAATGTGGAACAAGTAAATGGTTTGGGAGGGGAGGGGAGGAAGAGGGCTGTGGGCCAAGTTTCAGTAGCAAATACTTCTCGGCCAGTTGATAAACTTTCAAAAACACTTGCTGGCGCGTGCGCTGGAAACATTATCCGATGTGCTTAACACTTTCCGGGTGAACTTTGGAAAGTGAAATGTAAAATTTTCAAACTGTAAGGAAGCCTGCAGTCCTGAAGTTTTGGTGCCGTCAACAGATTTGGCGCTCATCTATCTGATTTTTCTTTTCAAGCCAGCTCACGAGAGAGCTCACTGAAAACACGCATCTCTGACAGGACACATTACAAGCTACTTCTCTCTCTCTCTCTTTTAACATTCTGCTCTTTTTTTTTTTTCCCCCATGCTTTGAAACTAGTTGAAATGGATTCTATTTAGGGATCAAAGAGATGGAGCGAGAGAAATAATCATTTCTCTTCCGCTGTCATCGGCACCTGGGGCGACGTTATTAAGGAGTCATTTTCTGGATGGCTCTGGGTGTGACGCAGCCCTCCCTTTGGGTGAGATGAAGAGATCTGGGAGTCTCCCCGTTTCCTAACATAGCATGTCAAGTCTCAGGTGGGAGCAGGGGAGCGGGGGCAGCGGATCAAAGTTCAAGGTTGACTTCGCCACATACTAGCTCTGTTATCTCATGGATGCCACTTAACCTTTCTGTTTCAAATTAAAATGGGAGTGACAGTCACCCTCGGTGACAGGTGGGTGTTTTGTGGGAATAATGGGACAAGACACTGGCCCTGTAAACATGTGCTCCCTCTTGGGGCCCATGGTTTGGTATCATCCTCAATGTTCCCATGTTCTAGGTATGTTAAGCGGCTGGCTGCCTGCCTCTTCCCTTACTCTAATCTCCCTCTCTATCCGCTCAGCCCTCTGCTCCCGTGATTACAATGCGTCGACCCTCTTACGTCTGCTGGGATGTTTGCCTTAATGGATGGCCTCACGTACCGGGGAAATTGTGCACGAAGTAAACAGTCAAAAGGTTCATCTGAGGAACTGCTATCCCATCTGTCAATGAAAGGGCTGGTGGCCGGGGGAATGTAGCCTAGTAGCTGAGTATTTGCCTAGCCTGTGTGAGGCCCTGACTTCCGTTCTTGGTACCAGAATGGATGAATGAATGAATGAATGAATGAATGAACAAATGAATGTATGAACAAGTAAATACTCCAATAAATGGTAGTGGTAGAGTGCTTGCCTGCCAGGCATGAGGTCCTGGGTTTGACCCCTGGCACTACAGTGAAAACATAAATAAGTAAGCCAGCCAACAGACAAAGAAACGGCTGAGCATGAGTCAGTCACTGCCTGTCTGAAACCTCCAAAACCATTCATTTTTTCAAGTTCCACTGAGGGAGAAAACTGCACAGTAAGGACAAGTGGAAGCGATGGGGCGGGGGTAAAATCCGGGGTAGAGCCAGGGGACCTGTAATGCCAGCTGCAGGGCTACTCAACTCTGATTCTCAGATGCCATCTTCTCTGCCATGGCAGAGTCCTATAAGGGTCAAACATCGTATTTACAAAACCCTCTCATTTTGTTCCCTGTGGTGCTGGGGACTGAACCCAGTTCCCTGTGTAGGTAAGTACTCTATCACTGAGCTACTCACTCAGGCCCCACAATTCTTCATAAGTAACCGGGAAGCTGAAAACTCCAGAGGAGAAAGCGGATGTGGTAAGTCCTGTGAAGCTGGGGAAGGGGCCCTGAACAGTGGGTGGGGGCAGGAAGCAGGCACAGGATGGGAAGGAACAGGTAAGAGTGGACCCTAAGAGCCTCGTGGATGAGAGAGGCCCTCCACTACCTGACGGTTTTACCCAGGGCCAGCTGCCCAGCTCTACTGCGTTCCTCCTAAAACATCTGCACACAACACTGAAACAAAACTCTACCATGTTAAGAAAAGAAATAAAAATCCAAGCCACACAACCCCAGACCACACCCCTTGGATGCCTCCAGGCAGGCACAAAGAAGGACTTACTTTCTTCTAAGTATGGAGGGCACAAGGCACCTGGAATAGGGAGCGAGTCTCCAGTTAGTGCAACCTCGTGACTTCAGGGACAACAGGAGGCCGAGGACATTGAAAACCTAAAGCCAGAGACACCGAGAAGAGTCCTGGCCAGGGATTCAGAGGCTCTGGGTGCTGTTGTGTATCACTGATAGCTCCGTGCCTCAGTTTCCCTATCTATAATGTACTTTCCCGGTTGAACACAACTAAACAGTTAGGATAGAATGACTCAGCCCTGTTACAGCAAGATCAGAGGCATATACTGGCTGGCTCTGCATGGGGACGGGGCAGGGGAGGGGGCACATCTGCAGTACAGAGTGTGAGCCCAGGGATGTCCGAGACAGGGCAGAAGTAGGCGCCTTCACATCAAGCTTGTTAAAGGCTAGAGCTGCACTGGTTTATTCCTATTCCAAGCGCACCTAACACAAGGTGACTAAGTCACTGGATAGAAGTTGCTTAGGATGGACAACTATTAGGCTTCAATGAAATGCTATCAAAATCATCCAGTGCTCAACAACAAAATCCTACGTGGTTCACTGGCACTGAATCACATGACCAGGGCAGAGTCCAAACCAGCCAAGGCTCTCGTCTACCGAGGGCGTAGCTAGTGTCAACCCTTCTGTCTAAAGATGGAGAACAGGGGTTAGGGCTGGTGAAGGGAGATGCCAAAGCCCTCTAGAGCAGGAAGCTGAGAACAATACCAGTCTTCCCGCCTTCCTGGGAGGAACAGGTCACCGATCAGAAAAGTCAGGAACAAGATGCTGGCTACTTTTAAAGACAGGGTGGGTGATAGGAGAGGCGAGTGCAGAAGAGTCTGGCCAGTTAGGGTAAGGTTCAAATGCACTCATTTCTCAAACCAAAAGAAAATGGGCTTGTTTAAAGAATAAAGGATTATCATCAGCAGAAGTGGGGGGGGGAGATAGCCTGCTAGAGAAACCATTCTAGAAATAAATAAATAAATATAGATAAATAAATAAAGCTGCCTGTCACCTGGCTGCGACCTTTTCTGGTGATAATTCTCTTGAGTGTGCTGTTACTAGAACTGTGGGAACCATTACATGAATGAATACCACAGTGTAATTCTTTAAGGCCTCAATTCTTTGTTTAAACATCCTGATTTCTTCCTCGGGGATACTCGGAATTTATGCCGCTAATTATTTCCAAAATAATGTCACTTCTGCTAAATAAACACATCTCTTTTTTTTCTCCTTAAATAGGAATTAAGCCTTTAAGTGCTCTCAAGGGTTATTCCTGCAAGACATCTTCAGCATGCTAGCAAATGAACCCAAGGCTAATAAGATACATGGTAATTATAACATGTCTGGCCAAGAGATGTTCCTCTATGTGTAAATATTTCATGGATCCAGCACCACGCAACGGTACCTGCCGAGTAAATTGCTGCCTCCATGAGCCCTAGGGAAACTGAGCCACTTCCCACTAATCAGCTCCTCATGTTTTTGTACTTAGAAGGGTGTTTCACGAGACCAGAATCCATCAAAAGTGAAAACAGCGCTGAACAACAGACATATTAACACTATTTACTAAGAGGCTGCATTACCGAGCTCTCGAATACAACATGCATGGCCATCCAAAGGCTTACCTCAACGACCTGTTGGGGCAGAGGCTGTGAGTCTAAGGGGAAACTGAGTCCCATCTACTAAGCATGTGAAAAGATACTCCACTTTACCTCATTCTCTGGGGTGGGAGATGGCGTTACAGAGCTAAGTGATCCTTTCCTAGAACCCTGGAGGTCCAATGGGATGGAGACAGGCCGTTCCCACTGCGTCGTTCCTGTCGGGATGTGCCAATAATAGGTCCCAGCAATGTCACGGACTCTTTTCCAGCCCGGTGGTAAATCCGGATCCGTCTGAAATGAATGGTCACTCCAGATATCTGCTGAGAAATGGAAAAAAAAAAAAAAAAAGAAAGAAAACGGGGATTTTATTAAAAGAGAAAAAGGAAGTTTCCAACAGCCAGGTAAACCCTACACGCAGAGACATCTACATGATGAGATGAGAAGAACCTACCATATAAAGTGCCGTTAAAAAGGTACTATAGCAGGAAACAGAACTGGAAAGGCTGTTTGCCATCTGTGAAGAGAGGCATGAAGACCTCATTTTCAAGTCCAAGAACCCCAAGCTAGAGCTCCATGAATCATAACTAACCATGCAGGCAAACTCCACATGTTTACACACACAGCCTACCAGATCCCGCTCTCAATCCGGAAGAAGGACAGGTTGGCACTACACATCCTTCCTGGCTATAAGTCTAAATTTCTCTAACCACTTTCTATAGATAAGCATCGTGTTTGCATTGAAACACCCACAGAGGAGCAGTGTCTCTTTCAGGCCTCGAGGACTCTGAATTGCACACTTTTAGGAAAAGCAAACTGAAATAAATAGCTGTGGAATTCAACAAAGGGCCAGATTGGCTTTCAAAGTGGGCCAGTGCTGTAGAAACATGAAAGAAGGTGGGAGTGAGAGGTCATACGGAATGGCGGAGAGTGTGGTCAACGGGCAAGCGTCTGCCAAGTCCAAAGACACTCAGATTCAATAAATAACTCTTAAGCATTGTGGGTGCCAAATAGAGTTTACCCACTGGACAGTTTTGGGCACACTTAACCTTCCTCAGTACTTTCACTATCTACTGAGTAATTATTTGCTTAATTTTTTTCTTATCCTGGAGTTGAATATTAAAGGGATAAAATGTACAAGAGAAAAGAGTGAGAAATTCAGAGATGAAGGGTTGTGGAGAAGCCACAACGCTAACGGTGTCCGTGTGGCAGGCTGACAACTGGGCTCTAGACCTGAGCACTGTTCTATTCTAAGGGCTAGGCCCGTTTCTATGCAGCCACACAGAAAAGCCTGAATGCTTTATTGCATTTCCAATGAGAACACATGTGGGCTTCGCTCAATACTGCATCATTGTGCAATGTGGGCACACATTCCCAAAGCTGTTACAGGACAGAAGAAAAAGAGAGGCCAAACAAAGAGGCTGGCGAAGTCCACGGGCAGAGATGTGTATCTACACTGTTGATGGTACCCCAGCATTCACTTCTTCTGTTTCAGCTTGCCAGAGGCAAAACTGTCACAGGTCTCAAATGACGGTGGGAACAGTGTCCCCTAGCCATAGGAAAATTAAGCATGATTATGCAATTCCAACTTAACAAAATTTGCAGAAACAACTCTAACCCAATGTGTTTATATTCCCCATTCACCCGCCCCCTTAGGAGGTAAATGGGTTGCTCCTGACATCCCTCTGTTGTTAACATCTCAGCTGGGGCAGGGAGAGGAAAATGCAGAGGATTTAAGTTGGAGAAGTCTGGAGTACGTGAGTGCCCTCATAGGGTCTCCTTCCATGGCTCTCAGACGAAGAGGTCTGGGGAAAAAATGGGAAGGAATGAAAGGGTGCTTGTTCCTACCTCTGTGGTTCATGAGGTCTGTGCACGTGTGCCTGAGAGCGAGGAACAGCCACGCACACCATCAGAGTAGGAATTCACACCAGACCAAGGGCAGAGTGCAAGGGCAGTGGCCTTGAACCTACCTAGAGTGTGTGAGGGGGACTTGGCACTAGAGGGCACGACCTGAGCTGTTCTATGTGGAACCAAACACCCTACATTTCTTATCTGGTTTGTATTTTAAATTTCTGCTGAGATCGTGTTAGAAAAAAAAAGTACTCGGAAGGGGGGCTTATTCTGTTGCTAAAAATAGATGACATAAAATAAAAATAGATAGTGGAGGAAGTAGGCCAAGCTCCAAGATTCACGGTTCCAGCATCCTGTCCAGAAGCACACCATACTCGTGTGCGGGCCAAATGCTGGGAGGGCAGGAAGACATCACGTCCATCTCATCCATCAGCCTACTTCCCACACCCCAAAACAGGCTTTCAGTATCGGGTGGATGGGTAGATGGATGGATGGATGAATAAAGGAGGAAGAAATTACTGAATGAATTAGGTTTTTCCAATAGCAAACCTGGCATCTAACAAAAGAGGAATTCTGAAGAAATGAGTTCTGTACACTGTCACAAAACAGACATTCATCCAGGGTCAACGTCTATTTCTTTTGATGGCATTTATGTCTATTCTCACAGGTAAACAGAGATACAGCCAGCCTTCAACATCCACACTGCAGGCTCCACATTTGTGGATGAAAGCCGTCAAGGAGTCACACGTGATAGATCTGCTGGGAGGGTCCAGAGCACAATGGGATATGCTTGGTTTCCAGTGGGAATATTCCAAAAGACATCAATGTTAGAGAAATTATTTTTCCTTGGGTGGGTCATATCCATTGTAATCTTGGATGTTAGAGCCAGAATCAGAACACAAAAAGTACACCCTGGGGCCGGCCATTGGTGGTGCACGAATTTAATCCCAGCACTTGGGAGGCAGAGGCAGGCGGATCTCTGTGAGTTCGAGGCCATCCTGGTCTACAAAGTGAGTTCCAGGACAGCCAGAACTGTTACACAGAGAAACCCTGTCTTGAAAAAAAAAAAAAGTACACAATGGGATCCTGTCTGCTTCCCGCTTTCAGAACTGGAACTAAGATCAACTGTAGGGCTCTCAACGAAAGACGGATAAGAGTCAGAATGGCAGAATACACAGAAAGTCTCCAGAGGACTCTTACGATGTATCTCAAGTTTCAGCACAACATTCTTACACAGCCGTCCGCTTAGCAAACATTAAAAAGCACCACACAAGAGGGCAGGTGGGTCAAACAAGGAGAACTTGTCTATGTCACACAGACTTGTTGGAGGGGAATTTTAATAGAAGCATGCTGAAAACAAAAGATTATCATTAATTAATGAAGAAGCTATGCTACATCATGACTCGGCAATTCCACCCCTGGAACATGTCCTAGAGAACCCACACATGCATATTAGGTATGCAGACCATGGTAGCAACATTAAAATGGCCCCGGACTCAAAACAACTCAGACCTCCTCTTAGAGAAGAATAGGAAATTAAAGCGGAATAAATAAATAACCAAAACGAGCCAAGCAGAGCTGCACACAGCAATACAAAGTGTACAACACGCCCCTGATGAAAAGGACCAAGACAAAAGACACCACACTCACTACATATCCATTCAGATAAAGTCCAACCATTAATTATTTAGTGATAGACACAAATTGTTTAAACTGTCAAAGACACAAACACACAGTCATCATATAAAAAACAATTACAGGCTGATGAACAGCCAAAAGTGTGTGGGGGTAGGGTGGGGTAGGGGGTGTTGGTTTTGACTAGAAAAGGGCACACTCCTGGTCTTCCATAGTCTAAAATTTTCATTGGTGGTGACATGGATGTTTCTTTTATAATTATCTATTAATCTGCATGCTTAATCTACTTTTCTGAATGTTTATTTTTCCCAAGTGGAAAAACAGAGGCTGGAGAGATGGTTCAGGTGGTAAAGTGTCTGCCAGCCAAGCCTGATCTGAAGACGTCACCTAAGAGGTGGGTGTGGCAGTGTGTGCTTGCAATCTCAGCACTGGAAGGCAGAGACAGGAGGCTCCCTAGAGGTCTTCTGACCTCTCCATGCACACAGTGACACACAAATACAACAGGGAGGGAGGGAGGGAGGGAGGGAGGGAGGGAGGGAGGGAGGGAGAGAGAGAGAGAGAGAGAGAGAGAGAGAGGAGAGAGAGAGATTTGTTATCCAAATCAAGGTATCCTCAATGTCTACAAGATCCAAACAAAAAACAAGGGGTTCATTCAAGGCTCTTGATGGCTCCATTGAGTACAGATGATTCAAAGAGCCCAGCAGCGGCTTTATATAGCTTGGCCTGGGAATGAGTGGGAATGCCCTGGGGATTATTTTACCTGGCTCAGCCATTCACTATTTGAATGGCCCCGGACAAACCAGGCAGCTTCTTAGAACGCCAGATGTTTATCTATAAAACACAGGTCACCACAGTAGCAGCTGCCTGACTGGGTTGTGGGTCAATACTCAGAACAGAGTGGGACACAGGACAGGAATACTTCAGCAATATAGCAAGGTATCCAATTCACCGAAGATCCCCCACTTCAGTACAAAGGAAAATGCCTAGTACAGACATCACAAGGTTAAATGGCCACCGTGGTTCCAAGAATAAGGACGAAATGGAGATAATCTCCTGGTGACTTTTCAGTGAGAAGTCACTCCAGTTCACTCCAGCAAGACCAGCCTGAGACAACGCCCGCCCTGCTGGCCCTCTTCTCTCACAAGACACTCTCTTGTCCTCCAAATCTCTGTCTCTGTCTGTCTGCCTGTCTCTCTCCATCTCTCTCTGCCAATGAGGAAAAAAAAAACACTTCATGACTTCTAAAACAAGCATGCCCCATTTAGAACACCATTAAGGCACAGGCTCCACTTTGCCTAAGCGTCTCTCAAACACAAATCAACCCCAAATGAAGACAGTTGCTTTGTGTCTGTATGGGTTTTTCGGTTTCCCCTGCTGTGAGTCTGCAGTCTTCATTGGTGAAGAAGTCCTGCTCTCTCCACCGCAGAAGACATGTCTTGACTGCATTTAATGCTCAAGTCAATCCCTGCTAGAAGGCAAGGCCACATCTGGGGCCTTTTAGGCATTATGGTGCTGTGACAGTACAGAGGCCAAGAAGATTTGAAAGGACAGCGGTGCTGGCTGGCTGTGGATCGTGTGCCCTTTACTGCAGGGGCATGGGCATGTCCACAGCTGCCCCGAGAAGAAGGCAGAATTGTTATCCCCGCTTCTAAGGCTTGCAGAAGACAGTAGACGGATTTAAACCAAAGAAATAAAGTATGTCCTGATACGGAACAGGATCAACTTTTCAGAGACCCGAAAAAGACACCAGCATGGACAGCATGGGGAGAAGGGTAATAAAACAAAAGGATCGGAAAACAAGAAAGAAAATAATGATACAGGGATGAGATTATGAGAC